CGTTTCACTCCTTGCCAGGGACACTTTCCACTATCCCAGGTGGCCCCAAGCTCCATCCAGTCTGGCCTTGGGACACTTCCAGGGATGCAGCAGCCACAGCTTCTGTGGGAAGTCCATGCCAGGGTCTCACCACTTGTTCCTTGCCAATATCCCGTCTAACCCTGCCCTCTGGCAGTGGGAAACCACTGCTCCTTGTCCTGTCACTCCAGGTCCTGGTCCCAAATGCCTCTCCACCTCTCCTGGAGCCTCTTTAGGTACTAGAAGGGGCTCTAAGGTCTCCCTGAACTCTTTTCTTCTGAACATGATTCCATAATCTCAGTTTAGGTGTGTAATGGCTATTTCAAACAGATGTGATGTCTTCATGTTTTAACACCTTGCCACAGCCTGGCTTCAGCATCACAGCAAGCCCAAGAGCAGGGCTCGGATTCAGCCAGGCAAAACCCGTGAGAAATTCGTTTGGAGGGCTGGGGTAATACTCAAAAACACACAACCTCAAGGGGGTTTCCCATTACTGCGATTTCCACTGTGCCATCCCCCTCAAATTCAAGGTTGCATTTGAAGCTTATTCCTCCCAAACTGTGACTGCTCGTCCCTGTAAATGGGTAACTGCACAGTACTTGTATTACACTCAGATTCTGAGCTGGAAGGATTTGAGCTTTAGTTACTGAACTTAAAATTCTACTTGACCTGCTGGCTCATAGGCCTCTTCCTTATTGTCACAACTGTTGCTCTTCAATAAAATAAGAAAAAAGTGTAGAGTAAATCTGTCATTCTATGTGTTTCTACAAACTCTTTAACCCAGACTGTGCTTTTCTTTCCAAAACTTATGTAGGATTTTTTTCCCCAATACATCAGAGCAAAGATACAAGTTCCACCTGGTCTTGGCCAAATGTAATTGGTAACAACTAATTAACAACTAATGCACCAGCACTCATCCAATTCTGGAGCCTAATTAATTCACAAGGAAAGCAAGGAAAAAAAAGAACAGGGCAGTCCTGTATCCTGAACAGTCTGTTGGCATGGGAAGGGAAAAAATCAATGTAAGGTGTACTTCCAAGTGTGCTTTGATGTTGTGGGGCTACAGCCAGGAGCTTCAAAGACAGCGTTTTGTTGTGTTTGTGGAAAAACCCCAGCTTAGCACTCCTGGCACCTCCTTTTCTCCTGAGGTTTTCCAAGTATCATTATTTTACTTGTTATTCATTAGGCCGCCCAGCTGAAGGGTGCAGGAAGTGCAGAAGACAGCAATGGAATCGAGAACAAAAAGGTTGGAGGGGCTGGATTTGCATGTTTTGAAAAAGAAGATGGTGGGGCAAGACAAGAAGGGGCACAGTGATTTTCCAAAGGCCTGTGGGTTATCACACAGGGAACACTGAGATGGTGTGTCCTCAGGGACACTGCAACAGCCACTGGGTTAAGTCACAGCAAGAAGGGTGAACAAATTTTGTTGTCAGGCACTTGAAGAGGCTGCAGAGGGAACCTCTGCCCACAGTGGTTTTTAAGAACAGCATAGACACACACAACTGGGGAGGATACAAAAATATCATTATCCTGTCTCATGACTGGAGGTTGGTCTAGGTGAGCCCTGGGCAGCGAGGAAGGTGTTGGAGCAGTGCAGGCACAGCCATCAGCACTCCATGTGCTCCAGCTGCATGCCAAGGAAAAGCATCCCAGAGCAGATTGCCTCATGACAGGAATATCAAAGCAAAAGTCTGCAGCAAAAGAAGGAAGAAGAATTTGGTGGGAGACCACATTCACTGTTACAGCAACACCAAACATGTCTGATCAACATATTTTCTCCAGTGACCAGGGACAGAGCCAGTGGCTGGAGCTGGGCCAGGGAGGCTCAGGCTGGAGATCAGGGCAAGGCTCTTCCCCAGAGGTGCTGGCACTGCCCAGGCTCCCCAGGGGATGGGCACAGCCCCAAACCTGCCAGAGCTCCAGGAGCGTTGGGACAGCGCTGCCAGGGGTGCCCAGGTGGGGCTGTTGGGGGGTCTGTGCAGGGATGGGGCTGGGCTGGGGAGGATCCTGTGGGTCCCTCCCAGCTCAGGATATTCTGTGACTCTCCAATTAAAGAGCTGCCTACAGCAGCTCTTTAAAATCCACAGCATCCCTGTGACACAAGAGCAAGTGACAAAGACACAAATGTGGGGGAAATACCCAGGGAAATAGGAGGGTACAGAAGCAAGAAGAAAAGTAATCTTTTGAAGCTGGGTTGCAGGGTTTTAACAGAAAAGTATTGTAGTCATCTTGGGAAGAGCTGAACCTGCTCCTGTCCTGGTGCCTGCTTTCTCTCCAAAGTGATGGCTTTGCTAACAGAGCATGCTGGGCGCCCTCACTGCCCACTGAGGCAAATGGGAAAGGCAGGGGAAAGGAAGACCAAGGATGGACAAAATGTTTCTTGTAGGTGATGACAAAGTTAAATGATAGAGTGTGCGTAAGTTTACATCACCTAATGGGAAGTTATGGGCCTTCAAGAATCCAAATGGTCAGGGAATATTAAAATGTAAAACAAACCCCATAACAATGTTTGGGCTGATGGCTCTGCCTGCTCTAACACTACATCTTGCATGAAACAGATGACCTTGAAATGTCAGAGTTGTTTGGGAGGCAGAGTTTTACACCTCGTGGTAAATAGCTGTTTTCATTGTTTCATATTCTTGTATTACGGAAATGGAACGAGGAAAATGTTCCTGCCCATGGCAGGGGGCTCAACTAGTTGATTTTTAAGGTCCCTGCCTACCCAAAACATCCTATGATTTTATGACAATAGGATTGGAGGATCTGAGATATGAGGAGACGCTGAGAGAGTCAATAGGTCATTCAGCCTATAAAGATAAGGCTCAGGGGAATCATATCAGTGTGCACAGAGGTGAATAGAAGATGGAGCCAGACTCTTCTGGGTGACAGAAGGGGCAGAAGACACAGGCTGAAATACAGGAAATTCTGCTTAAAGCTAGAAAAAAGACATTTTATAGTGAAGATGGAACAGGCTGCTCAAAGAAGTTGTGGTGGCCCCATCCTTAGAGATACTCAAAACCCAGCAGAAGGTCCTGAGGAACCTGTTCCTGCTGCCCCTGTATGAGCAAGGAGCTTGGACCAGATATTCTCCAGAGTCCTTTCCAACACCCACAAGTCTCCAATTCCAGGGATCACACAGGCTGACCAACCAACCTGTACCCACACAAGCTCACCAAGGTTAGCTCTCTTTTCCAGCTGGTACATGACACCTGCCTGGGGGCTTTAAGCTGTTTAGGAGGAATTTCTTCATAGAAGGGGTGATTAGACATAGGGGCTGCTGAGGGAGGTGGTGGAGTCACTGTCCCTGGAAGTACATAAGCAAAGACTGGATTTGACACTCAGTACCATGATCTAGTTGACACTGTGGTGTTGGCTCAGAGCTTGTGCTCGATGATCTCAGAGCTCTTTTCCAGCCTAATTGATCCTGTGATTCTGTGATTCTGCATTCAAGAGTGAGGAGAGGCTCCTTGCAATAGGAATTGATTGTGTCCCAGGAGCCATGATCTCCAAAGAGATTAATTTTCACATTCATAAAAAGCAGAAGAGTGTACATTGTTACATACAAAAAAAGTCCTCATTATCAGATGTACTGACAATGGCATATTTACAACAGCATGTCCCATTAGAGACATCAAGGGCACACTTTTAGGATTATCTCTGTGGAGAGACACATCAGGAAAAGCTCAGTAACCAAAGGAGACTTTCATGGGAATGCCAAGATTCCAACACCAAGAGAACAGTGGCACAACTGGAGGCCTGTCATTAGTGGTGTCCCCCAGGGCTCACTCCTGGACCCAATATTGTTGAACTTGCTCATCAATGACTTGGATGAGGTGGTCAATCCCTCCCACAGGGTCGCTGTGCATCCCCTCAGAGGGATCTCAGCAGCCTGGGGATGGGAAGAGAGGAACCTTCTGAAATGAAAGGGCCAAGGCAGGGTCCTGCACCTGGGGAGGAACAGCCCCAGGCACCAGCACAGGCTGGGGCCAACCTGCTGGGAAGCAACTTTGTGGAGAAGGACATGGGGGTCCTGGTGGACAAGAAACTTTCCATGAGCCAGCAGTGTGTCCTTGTAGCCAAGGGGCCACTGGGATCCTGGAAAGCACTGGGAACAGCATTGCCAGCAGGTCAGGCAGGGGATTCAGTCCCTCTGCTCAGCCCTGTGAGGCACATCTGGAGTGCTGTGTCCAGCTCTGGCTCCTCAGCACAGCAGGGCCAGGGAGGTCCCGGAGCAGGGCCAGCGGAGGCTGCGCAGCTGAGCAAGGGCCTGGAGCATCTCGGTGCCCAGGAAAGGCTGAGGGAGCTGGGGCTGCTCAGCCTGGAGAGGAGCCCCAGGGAGAGGGGCCTCAGCCCTGGGTGTCCCGGTGTGCAGGGAGGGGCAAAGCAGAGCCCAGGCTCTGCTCCCTGGGGCCCAGCAATGGCACAGAGGAACGGGCAGGGAGCCATCCCCAGGCAGTTCCACCTGGACAGGAGGAAGAAATTCTTTCCTGTGCAGTGACCGAGCACTGAGCAGGCTGCTCAGGGAGGCTGTGGAGCATCCCTCACTGGAGATACTCCAGAACTGTCTGGATGCAGCCCCGTGCGATGCTGTGGGATGGCCCTGCCGGAGCTGGGAGTTTGGAGCAGCTGCCGGCCTGTATCCCCTCCAGCCCGCTCCGTGCTGGGATCCCGGGGCTGTGCGAACACGGCAGCAATTGAATTCCGTTCCATTCCATTCCATTCCATTCCATTCCATTCCATTCCATTCCATTCCGTTCCGTTCCGTTCCGTTCCGTTCCGGTCCGTTCCATTCCATTCCAGTCCGTTCCGGTCCGTTCCGGTCCATTCCAGTCCGTTCCGGTCCGTTCCGTTCTATCCCGGTCCGGTCCGGTCCGTTCCGTTCAATCCCGGTCCGCTCCGTTCCGCTCCGTTCCCCGCCCCTCAGCGCCGCCGCCGCCGCCCGGCGCGTGCGCAGCGCGGGAAGGGCGCGAGTCGCGCGAGGCGGCGCGGCGGGCGCGCGCAGGCGCGGGGCGGGGCGGGCGCGCGGCGCTGATGCAAGAGCGGAGCTCGGACTGAGCCCGCGGCACCGACCGGCCCCGGCCCCTCCGCTCCCCCGCTCCCCCGGCCCGGCCCGGCCCGGCCCGCCGCAGACATGTCCGGCGACGAGGTGAGACCCGCCGGCCGCCGCCGCAGCCCCGCGCGGGGGCCGCGCCGCGCCGGGGCCGCCGCCATGTGGGCGCCGGGCCCGAGGCCTGCGGTAGCGCGGCCTCCGCCCTGCGTGGGCCCGGGGCGGGCGGGGGTCCCGCCGGGCCGGGGCCGGGGCAGCGCGGGCTGGGCAGGGCCGGGCGCGGGGCTCCGCCTTGCCCGCGGCCCCGGCACACGCCCGCCGGGGCCGCGGGTCCCGGGCAGGCCCGCAGCTCCCGGGGCGCTGCCGGCGGCCGGCCCTGGCGCGGAGCAGCCGCCGCGGGAGGCAGATGGCACCGCCACCGCTGCTCCGTCGTGTCCTGCCTCTGGAGCGAAACGCGGCGTTTAGGCTGTTACCCCCCGCTTTCTGGAGCTTTTGTAGCTCGGGTTTTAACCTTGAGAGGCGAATAGCAACATCTGAGCAAATAATAAGCAAACGTTTTCCGGATCTCGCGGTGTTTGTCTAGGCACAGTACCGGGGAAGTTGATACATCCGTCCGTGTCTGAGAAATTTTTCAGTTGTTGTAAATGCCCTGTAGTGGCAGCTTTACTGGCCTCATTTCCATTGTTCTCATGGGGAAAAGGAAAGTTTTCAGTGTGTGAGGTGCTCATCAGCCTGGTGTAGCCCGTGGGAAGCTGCTCCAGCCAGATCCAGGAGATAGCTGCTTCTGGCTTTGTGTCTTCTCTCTGCTGTTTAAAATACCTGTGTGGCTTGTTTCCTTCAAAGCAAAGTGATCACTCAAGTTTTGGAGAGAGACTTGTCCTACATCATAAAGGAGAACTGGTATAATTACGACTTATTTTAGTGGTAGCTGTGACTGACTTACTCAGCTGCTTTAACATCTAGAATGAATGCGTTGCATTTTTGTGCCTAGATGTGTCATGGGAGCTGCTGTTCTCTGCACCCAGGAATGCTTGCATCAGGTGGTGTCTGATTCAGGTGATCACAGGGCCATGGAGCAGTTCGTGGAGTGTCCTGCTTTGAATTTAGTTTGTATCAGTAAAATTGGTTTTCTTGCATAGTGGATCAATTTGACATAGAGGTGATTCCTGGGATCCGTAGTGAAGTTGCATCTCTGGGTTGCTTGATGTGACAGAGAGTAAAGATGATGGCAGATAACACAGTGGAGCTGGCACTTTTCTTCAGGCTGGTGTGCAGTGAGTGCAGCTGCCTTCCAGAACTCTGGTCTCTGGTTTCTGGGAGCCAGATACTTTGATATTGGTCTTAAGTTGGTGAAACTTTTTAAAGCCTGTGAGGTCAAGGAGGGTGAAGACACATGAAGACAAATTTAACAGTGGAAACTGGGATAGATGGTAAGAGGTTCATTGTGTTGAGCTGTAGCTTAAAAGTTTTCTGAGTTGTGCATGAATGAAACTCGTTGCTGGGAACATCCCTGAGTGCTGCCTGGGGCTGGGGCAGCACAGGCCCAGTTGTGAGAAGTGGTCTGTTAATGTCTGTTCACTTCATTAAAAATCCTGCAAAGTACATAATCCCACTGAAGACCTGAAAGTTCTTTGAGCCCTGCAGTTTTGTGAAGCTTCAGGCAGTAATACTGGAGAGTGCTGTGTTTTGACAAATTTAAGTGCTGCTTGGTCTTAGTAATTTTGCCCCTCTCCCTAGACATAAGGCAGTGTAGTGTAAGGCCACCTGAACTGATTGATCAGGACAGGGGTGATGTCTGCTTCTTGGACATGCCTGTGTTTATTCAGACTAAGGAAATGGGATTTATCTGTGGCTTCTGTTGGAATCCCTGCTGCTTGCCACTGTCACAGCAGTTCAGAGGTTCATTGGCCTCAGTCTTGAGTTGCATTTGGTCTATGAAACCTTGATTCTGTTTCCCCACTCTGTTCACTTGCTAATTTTCTGTAAGTTGGGATTTGGACTGTGTAGGCACTTGAAGTAAGGAGCAGGTATATGGAGATGGATGTGAGAAGGAACCATGTGGTCTACAGAGGAGAAAACCCCATATGGGAATTTGCCTCTGCGAGCAGGAACAGGATGGGAATCTATATTTTTTTTCACACAGGAAAAGCATCCAGGTTTGTTGTGTTTGTGCTGGGGGCTGAGGTTCCTTCAGTAGAAAATCTGCAGCTTTGTAGTTTGTCAGCACTAACTGGTATAAAGTTGACACAAAGCCAATGTGCTGAGCAGAGAAAAGGAATAAAGAAAGTTTGGAAACACCTGCCTCAGAAAGCCAGAACATGACCAGCTGGGTTATCAGGCTGGTTCATTTATGTCATGACTTGTTAAAGCAAATGTGACCTAAGGCTCCCGCTGAGTGCTTGTTGAAGCCCTTGGTGAACAAAACATTTCAGGCTTAGGCATCCTCCTCCTCAGGTTGTGGAGTGTGCCATGTTCTGAGTAGGTGTTGGGTGTGCAGGAGCCTGGCTTTCCCTGCCTGGCTGGGGTGGCCCTGCTCAAGGCCACCTGGGTTTGATGCTGAAAACCAATCTCCTGCATCCAGGAGTTGTTTGGTGTGTTCAGTTTATGGTGGTTCAGATGTCTTTTCCCTCAGAAAAAGAGATTTGGGGTGGGTGGGCTGGTTCCTTCTTAGAAACTGTTATATCTGATCAAGGCATGATACTAGGTTTGTTTCACGTGAGACAATAAAAAGCTCTTCAGAATCTTGCAGAGCATCTTCATGGAAATGAGTCAGCCACTTGTGCTGGATCCCATGCAGGCAGCTCTCCTGCTGTCCCAGCAGGCTGGGGAGGTCCAGGAGGAAGCAGAAGTGGGACCAGTTGGACATGCTGTGATTTCTGTGCATTGCAGCAGCATGATTCACACCACTATCTATGGAAGCAGCAGAAAAAAGCCCTCTGGCTTTCTTTTGAAGATCATTCCAGCACAGTGTGTGCAACTAAAGACCCACTTCAGCAGTTTGAAAACCTCAGGGTCCCCCGTGTGTGTGCAGGCTTTGGGGATGTTTGTGTCTGTTGTGCTGCAGACACCCATATAAGCAGTTTGATGCCTTTAGTAGAGCCTGTACAAAACACGTATGTTTCAGAAAATTGGAAGAATATAGCAAGAACAGCATGTGTAGGAGAATGAGAAATGCGAGGAAAGGTTGTGTTGCGGGGAGAGGGAAACCACCAGACTTCAGGGGTAGCTGGGCAAGAAGTTGGAAAGCTGCTCCTTGGTGAAGTGCTGGTTCTTTCCTGAGTGAGGGTGTTCATGATGGTGAAGTACAGCTCTGTGAGAATATTCTTCCATTGCTGGATAAGGAACATTGGAGAAAGTGTCTAAAATGGTTGTATTTCATATAAACTATGGTGTGACAGTCCAGGCAGATGTAACAAACTGACCAACAGCTGGGACGTCAGCTTGTGTGTGAAGTGAAACAAAAAGCTTTAATGTGTTGGAATAAATCCCTTAGGTCTGCAGATGATAAATAGGTTAAAAGTGAGTCTGAGGTTAGTGCCCTCTTCACAGCCAGACAAGGTGAATTAAGCTGCTTTGCTGGCTAAAGAGCTCATGAACAGCTTTTATTCACTTGGTGTCTGAGGTTCAGTTTCTCACTCTGGGGAGGGAGAAGGATTAGACCTCTGCCATTTCAGTGTTCAGAGCTGAGGCAGGTCTTGCTGTATCACCAGCCCCTTCTAGGCTTCCTCCTCATCCAGAGTGTTCTTGTCAAGAGAGTGTTGGCAAATCTTGTCTTCAATAAAGCTGGGATTTAATGTGTCTCACAAGTGGAAGTGATTTGTGATCAGAACATGTGCTTTGGTGGGATTAAATTTTCTTCTGTGCTGAGTGGTGCTGTATTATTGCAAATTGGAGTCCATAATGGTCATAAAATAGAGATGGTAGCCAGTCTGTCAGAGTGACAGCTATAACATTTTTCCAGCTGTGCTAATAAATAGGTGACAGGAAACCTGGACTACAGGAAAAGTATCAGGTGCTATGAACTCTGTCAGTTTTCCCTTGTAGTTGACATAGTTGAGGATGAAGCTGAGGAGCAGTTTGGGACAAGTGTTACAAATAATAAATGGGGGGGGTGATTATTGAGCTGCTAAGGAGCTCTTGACTTTTACAGATGATTTTCGATCCTACTATGAGCAAGAAGAAGAAGAAAAAGAAGAAGCCCTTCATGCTGGATGAGGAAGGAGGAGGAGGAGACCTACAAACAGAGGAGACTCAGCAATCAGAAACAAAGGAAGTTGAACCAGAGCCAACAGAAGACAAAGATGTTGAAGCAGATGAAGAAGACAGCAGGAAGAAAGGTAAGGTGAATCCATGTAGATAAACTCTCAAAGGTGCTGTTTTGACACTACAGGCCCAATTTCAAGAATTTGGCGTCCCAGAGTATAATGCCAGAGCCTTGGTGTGTTCAGAGAATTGTGAGTGATCTCTGCTGCCTGTTTTGGAGGGCAGCTTGCCCTCTTGCTTGGAATCACGTTCACAGACACCACCAAGCTCCCAGGGGCTTATGTAATTGCCAGTTTTCTAACTCAAACAGTCCTTTGTGTAAGGCTGAAAGAGACCCTCTAAAACAGTGTGAAGTTTTAAATCTTCCACATCCAGTTGTTGCAATAATTCCACAATATGGCACTTTTTCATTTGAACAATTAAGCAATAGTGTGAATAACAGAAACATGGCTAATGGAGTTTCTAGTTCTTGGACAATTCTGAAAGTGATAACCAGAGTATTCTTTGGAATCTTTCAGGAAGTGTGTGATTGTGTATAAAACCGTGCTTTTTAAATTGAGGCCAATGTATTTGCAAAATTACCTAATTCAGAGAGTGCCATTAACTTAAATCCAGTTTGTTGATAATTTGACTCCTGCTGCAGACCAAAGAAACTGCACCTTCATCATGCACTTCTCAATTTTTGTCCAAGCATCTCTAATGACAAAAGTGACTAATTTATCTTGTACAGCAGAAAGAAAGATTAAACTTTTAAAGAACCAAAAGACACAGAAGGTGCAGAAACTAAAACAGTATTTGGGGGCAGAGGGGAATGATCTCTTCAAACCTGAAGGATATCCACAGGGGCTACAGATCATTGCTCATATCTTACTTTGATGTTTTAAAGATTTGGATGTCAATTAGAAGCCTTAATGTCTGAACTGTTTCTACAGTTACACTTCTTTAGGCAACCCTTTGTTTTTTAGATACAACAGATGACTTGGATGATTTAAACTTCTTCAATCAAAAGAAAAAGAAGAAAAAACCAAAAAAGATATTTGATATTGATGAAGCAGAAGAAGGTGTAAAGGTTTGTTTACATAACTTGACTATGGCTGAAAACTCTATTGCTTCTGTTTTCTTAAAATTGGCAGTGCAGGAGTTGTCTCAAGTCTGTCATTGTGTCTTGGTGCAGTTCATAACTAAACTTTACATGTCTTCCTTTTTTTTTTTATGAACGTGTTGCTCCTGCCTGGGCTTTTTGTCCAGAAATGAAAAAACTTACCTGTTCTGCACAAAGAGCAAGTAATTCACTAATCTGGAGGAAGGGCTGATTAACCTCAAGGTTAATTGTCTTCTGGAGTTAGAGAGATAACTGGATGTCAGAAGCCACACACAGAACAGTCCTCTAAAGGCCAGCACTTCAAATGAAGTGCACATATCTGCCAAGAAATCTGTTTTCACTCTGGTGTTTTCTTTAGAAAGGATTGGCTACTGTGCTGTGTTCCAGAAGGTGTACAAGATATTTTTACTCTACTCAAGTTTTATTCCAAGTAGTATTTTTGTATCACATGTCAGTGGAACTGGCAAGCCCAGAGAGCAGGAGGACAGAGAAATGTTATGTTATGCATAAACTTCCTTTTCAAATTCTGTCTTTTGGGGAAGAAAATGTTCCTCTGATCTGCCTCAGGGTACAGAATACTTGTTCTGTGTTCTTGCAGTGTGCAGAATTGTGATAACAAATTAGAGCAGCACAGCTTTGCTTTCCCTTGCTGCTGCCATGAAGGGTGTTTTGTTCCCTCCTGTCCTCAGATGGCTGCTGCCTTTAAGTGCAGTCTGACCTTGTCCCTGGCTAGCCAGAAGTTAAGCCAGAAGGTGCAAATCTGGCCCTGCTGATGGCAGTAGTGCAGGGTATAGAGCTCTCTTGAACATGCTGGAATTCCATTCTTACCTGTTGGGTTTCAGGGCCGTGGTGGGTGTCACCAGTATTCACCTCTATAGCATACAGCTGGTGTTATTTCTGGTGCTATGGAGGGCTGTGGTTAACAAGGATAAACTACAGTCTTACTGATTTGCAGGAATTGAAAATTGAAGGAGATGTGCCAGAGACAGTAGAACCTGAAGATGACCTTGATATCATGTTGGGCAATAAAAAGAAGAAAAAGAAGAATGTGAAGTTTCCAGATGAAGATGAGATAATGGAGAAGGATGAAGGTAGAAGTATAACCTAGCTCTGTGAAATGTCAGAAGTGAAATGTGGTCCACCTTATATCTGAACAAGTTCAGTTCAAATGCCTTTTTTGTTCCAAAATTTATCAGAAGAATGTTCTATAAAACCCTGTATAAATTTCCCATGAGTGCTGGTGTCCCTTTTTAACAAAGAGAGAAGACTTGAGTCCACATCTCGGTGGAATTTTCTCCTGTGTACCTTTTAGAAATCATGTAATCATGAGGTTAAAGAATGTTTCTTAATGAATCCCCAAAAACTTTCTTTACAGCATTTGAGGATGAAGATAGCAAAAAAGATGATGGAATTTCTTTTAGCCTTCAGTCAGGACCTGCGTGGGCAGGCTCAGAAAGAGACTACACATATGATGAGGTAATGTTCCAGAGACTTTTAAAACATATTTTCCATGTTCGTGTGCATCAGTAGAGCCTTATGCTCATATTTCCCATTTCTAACTTGAGAGTGAAGGACATGTAGTCAGGACATAACGAGCAGAAGCTAACAAGGCATGTCTTGTATCACAGTAATTTTCACTACATTATCATAGTTCAAACACCTCTGCCATGGGCAGAGCAAACCCTTGGGGAAGCAGTGTTGGGATTTTGCGTTTATCAAAACGCTCTGAATGTGTTCTGAAGCAGGTGGGGAAATGCTCTTAGGCAAAGGTAGTCTGATATTCACTGTGAATGTTATGAATGATATTCACTGTTTCAGGTGGCTTTTAGAGGTGAGGTACTTTGAGGAATGGCAGATGCTCACGTGGGTGTGCATCCCTCCTTTTGCAGTTGCTCAATAGAGTTTTTAACATCATGCGGGAGAAGAACCCGGACATGGTGGCTGGAGAGAAGCGGAAATTTGTCATGAAGCCCCCGCAGGTTGTGAGAGTAGGGACCAAGAAAACATCTTTTGTCAACTTCACAGATATCTGCAAATTGTAAGTTTCCCCTTTGGGTTTCCCAGGAATAGCAGATGGATGCACTGCTCTGTGTCCCTGTAGAGTTTTCTGGCAAGTGACTGTGGCAAACCAGGAGTGGAAGCTATTTCAGTCATAGAGCTCATTACATTTCTCTGTGAGAAGATAATTCTGAACATTATTTATTGAGATAATTTCTAATTTTATACTCAAATTACAAAAATGATACATGGCTGAAACTTGGTGAGTTCATTGGGTTCTAGCAAGTTGGGTCAAGAGTGACATTTATGTGCCAGCCTTGATGAGAAGGGTGGGAAAAGTTCTTTCTAATTTGAGCTGACTACAAATACTGTTCTCTTGATAAATTATATGGACTTCAGTAGTGTTTTCCCACTGTTCTCTGCAGTGATACATGTCTTAATTATGTCTTGTGAAGGCAGCTCTGTTCTTTGTGAGCCTTTCTGGGAATGCAGATCTGATGGGTATCAGAAGTGTGCCAGAAAACAGGCTGGTGAAACCCTGCTGAGGATCTGGGTTGTGCACTAAGGGGGGTTTTTAATGGTAGCTACTAATGTTTCTTCAGGGGATGGGTCAGTAAGAATGAAAGATCTGTAATAGAAAACTTCTTTTCCCTAGTTGCTGTAATTTTGAGTTGGGAACAATGGGAAGATTTCTTTGTGTGGACTGCTCTTTGGTGCAGACCCCTGGCACTGCTCCCTTTGAAACTTTCCAACTTAAATTGGATTTATCCTGCCAGTCCTGTACAAATACCAAATTTCTCTGAAGGGGGAAGGTTAAAGATTTCCTTACTTTATTTTTAGATTACATCGTCAGCCAAAACATCTCCTGGCATTTTTGTTGGCAGAATTGGGTACAAGGTAAGACTGCTGGGCTGTGTGTGTGCTCAGGATTTATATTGGTCCAATATAACATGTTGAGGTTAGATCTGTATAGATGTGCTGGAACGTGAGGCTTTTGTTCCCTGCACTTCAGTGCTGTGCTGGGTGATTGAGGAGAGAACGTTTTAGTGAGGAAGTACAGAGGGAAACTCTCAAGTCCAAGGGAATGGTCTTGTTCACTCCCCTGAGACACACAGGTGAGGGCAAAACTTCTGTAGCTCTTGAGTTATTTTGAATTTTGCATTTTTTTGTCCCTACAACACAATTCTGTCTGTGCTCTTCTTGAAGAATGCATCTTTGTCTTGCTCCATGTTCCTGATTTGTTTCAACGCTTCACACCTGCAAATCAAATAATGCATTTTCTTTTTTTCAATTAGTGGTTCAATAGATGGTAACAACCAACTGGTAATCAAAGGAAGATTCCAGCAAAAACAGATAGAAAATGTCTTGAGAAGATATATCAGTAAGTAGACCTCCCTTTCCCACTGCAGATTTCTCTCAGCCCCCTTGTGATGCCTGCGTATGGCCCACCATGGAGGAGGCTGAGGAGCCACAACTTTATCATGGAATAGTGCAAATACAGGTGGTTCTGCCATGGTTAGACCATGGGCTCTACCCTGTCCTGCACTAAAGCATGCCAATGTAAACAGCATTTGAGAACTGACTGTTTTCATCTGAGCCTCATATCTTGGCTTTGATGAGGACTGTGGAAAACAACAGTAATTGTTGTTTTTCCAGTCTTTTGTACCCGTGAATTGAGAGATACAGTGTTAAGATAAGTTCAGTTCAAATGCCTTTTTTGTTCCAAAATTTATCAGAAAAATTTTCTATGAAAGCCCTGTATAAATTTCCCATGAGTGCTGGTGTCCCTTTTTGACAAAGAGAGAAGACTTGAGTCCACATCTTGGTGGAATTTTCTCCTGTGTACCTTTTAGAAATCATGTAATCATGAGGTTAAAGAATGTTTCTTAGTGAATCCCCATAAACTTTTTGTGCCACAGCTGGTCAGAAGACTCAAACTGTGTCCCAAAGCTCCTGCTTTAGTGCTGTGTCAGTACCAGAGCTGCTGACACCTGGCAGTGCTGCCTCAGCAGAGAAGCACCAGTGGGAAATGTGTACCGGTTATTAGCACTAAAGCAGCGTCAGTGCCTGATGTAGCACACAGAACCTCCTCCTGGCTAACCGGGGGCGATTTTTAGTGTCACAGGCATCCCTGTGAGCTGGTGGGTGTGTTGGAGCAGCTTTTGCAGAGAGCTGTGAGCAGCAGCAGGGCTGACTGCCCTTTGTTCCCTGCAGAGGAGTACGTCACCTGCCACACGTGCCGCTCCCCCGACACCATCCTGCAGAAGGACACGCGGCTCTACTTCCTGCAGTGCGAGACCTGCCACTCCCGCTGCTCCGTGGCCAGCATCAAAACCGGCTTCCAGGCTGTCACAGGCAAGAGAGCACAGCTCCGTGCCAAAGCTAACTAGGTTTGCTAACAACACTGCAGTTGGCAGAGTGTTCTGGGGAGATGGGACTGGACAGGTTTGCAATCGGAGTGGATTTACCATTGTATTAAAGCGAGGTTGTAAAAACAACAAGAAATTTGGCTTTTGATTGATTGGTCTGTGAAATCCTTGCAAGATGCAGATCCTCAAGCTGTTCACATACATTTGCTCATTGAATATATTTTACCAACTGTAAGGAGCGTGGTGGGAAAGGAGGTGCTTTTTAATCCGTTCAAACTTCTGTAAAAGACAAGATAAATTAAAGATACTATAACAGTGAGTGTCTTGGATTTGGATTTTTCCTTCAGCTTCCTCTTCAAACACTGGTGGGAATGGTTGGTGTGTTGTTCTGCAGATCATGTCACTGAGCTATGTCCAAGACCCAGAAGGAAATTCTAAGATAAAGGTTATTTTGCTTTTACATAACAGGCTTATTTTAGTTTTACTGTCATGAAACAGAGAAACGAGTCACAGAGTCCCAGGCTGACAGGCCAACACGAGCCCTGCTCCTGCTTGTACAGCCACGGATGCCTTGTGCACAGGTTTAATTAGGCAAAAATAGCTCTGAGACAGTTCAGACACCAGATAGGTGCTGAATTTTAACACAGACTCAGTAAACCGTACTGTAAGTTTTCATAGTGTCATAGTACTAAATTTTGCAATTTCTAATAGAGAGACATTTATATTTCTGAAGTCCTGCACTCTTCATCACTTTAAAAAGAATCTAAATGCAGCAAAAAACAAAAAAGTAATAGGTCTAAATGTCATTGTATGGTGGCTGCAGCACAGTCTTCTATAAATCCTGAATTTGCAGGAGATACTGCCAAGTAATTTGGGTTCCAAATTAACACTTTTTGCTTCAGGATCTTCCCATGCCCTTCCTCTGCTGGCAGTGTCAGTGACCTCGAGGGGACACCTGGTGCTGTCCTCGCTGGGTTTTGTGTAGGAATTCTTCCAGCTGGGGATGCAGATGGGAGTGAAGGTCCCCCCGGGTTGCAGAAGTGGGGACAGTTGTCACTTGGTTACCAAAATGTCCCAGATGGAGGAAAAGGTGCAGCAGCTCAGGGCCCTGGGCACCCCCCCTGCGGGTCAGGGGAGCAGCCTCCTCCCCAGGGGAGCTGGTCCTTCTGAAGGCAATACAGCAAACACCACAACTTGAAGGGTTTCTACTAAGTTTTAACCTTTGTATGTTAGCACGGAGCACAGTATTGCTGGGGAGTCACTCACTTGCTATTTGAAAACTTTGACAGTGCTGTAAGGCGGAAAATCAAGGTTTTATGGTTGGTTTCTTAAAAGCATTTTGAATTTCAAGTGAGCTATACCAATGTTGGATGTATCTTAAAGTGAATAAAGCCAGGATCAGTGCCTCTTGTAACATTGTTGTATTCTTGTTTCTTCCTCTAGCAAAGAGTCTCCTGTTGGGGGTTAAACCTTGGAGAAGTACAAGTTGCCTTTTTGTTTTGGTGGCTTGCTTGTGGGACACCCTGAAATAGCTGAAGAGCAATGATACTTTGTTTTTAAATGCTTTTTTTCCCTGGGTCAAATACCTTTAACAAACTTAAAACAATACAGCGTGGCCTTGAGCTGGTGCTGTATTTCAGTGCTTTAAATGAAAAGCTTGATTTAGTGAAATTGGCTGAAAAAGATCCAAGTTAATAAAGGACTAAATCATTGTTCCAGCCTCTCACCTCTGAGCTCTGGGTTGCAGCAGAGTTTCAGAGGTGTATTTTGTAGATGTGCTTTGAGTCTGTGCATGAAACCCTGAAGGCTTTTAATGACTGATATTGGAGTGCAGCATCTTGAGCTGTAGGCTCAGATCCTGCTGTGGAATAATAACTTCACTAATGCAGGAACAGCCTGTCTAGGAGCAGATATCAGTTGGGGCTTATTTTTTTTTACAAAAAATTTCACAGTACATTCAAATAATGTTGTATGAACACAAATGCCTCATGTTGCCTGTGAGGCCGATGTGAGTTTGAAGTGCAGTCATGTTCAAAGGCAAAGAAGTTTTTACTTGAGCTGGCTGTGAGAAAGCAGCTTAGGGATGGAGCTCTTGAGAGAGGAGCTGTGGTTCCCTGTGTATGTGTGCAGATACATTTTTGGAGGCAGAGCTGGTTTTGTCCATGTTTTTTTCTCTCTGAACTGAAAATTGGCTGTGTGGAGATGTGGGAGCCAGATTGTAGGTACTGGAAGTCCCTGTGTGAACAACAGCTGGGCTGCTCCTTCTCCATGGATTTTGCCATGCCCAGTTCTCCACCTGATCCAAGTAATCTGAACAATGCAGGGCTGTTCCTTCCCAGCAGTGAAGGTGAAACATCTTCCAGCCCAGAACATTCAAGAGAAAATCATCTGAGACTTGTCCCTGGAGGTGCTGGGAGCACAGGGTGAGCTGCTGTTGTGGTCAGTCAGCCTGAGCTTTACTGCTGCCTTGGAAGAACAATCCCTTTATCCCCACTTCTGCCTGGATGTGCCTTTATCTCCACTATCAGGGGGTTGCAGCTCAAGGGCTTGGGGACATGAGTAACCAGGAAAATGGGAACATCTCGTGCCCTAGTTGAGCACAAATCCAGTGGGATCAGCTGCTCTGGGGCTCATGTGCTTCTGTTCTGCTGAAATCACTGGGGGCTGCTATGAAAATCTGAATAAACTCCATTGCTGGGAGCTCCTGCCCAGAGCAAGAATTTAATCATTTTTGTAACCACAGCTAGTGTAAAGGAGAAGCATTTATGAAATGGCTCCATGGAGAGCTGGGAGTTCCTGGTTGGTCCCCAATTGACGTGAAGCATGTCCTCCAGGTATGGCCACCACACCCTGAGATCTGGGGTTTGGGGCAGCTCTGGGGCAGCTTCTCAGGGAGCCTGGGGCATCTGGGGTTGTCAGCAAAGAGAGGAAAAAAATCAGGTTTTTCAGAGCTGCTGCTACCAGGACAGGGTTTGTCACAAACTGCAGGGGGTGTTGAGCTTTAATCAGGTGAAAGGACCTGATTAAAGGTCCTGGTGGTGGCTGGCAGGGAGGCACAGGAATAGAAACAGCAGGAAGTTGCTGAAAATCAAGAAAATGTGAAATTGAGTGTGATGCTAACTGCTGAGAATCATTAGAATTTATCTGTTCATCTTCTAAATAACATTTCTCCAGCTCTCTGTTCTGCCTCTGTGCTCAGTTTTCCCGTAGAGGTTTATTCCAGATTACTGGAATAGTATTCAAGAAAGTGAGAGGCCAGGCTGTGAGAAGGATTTGAACACAAGACGTTGGACAGAAATCAGTATCTGCACAAGAATTGAGCAGTTCAGATTCTGGATGGAGACCAGAAGCTGTAAAGGCTTTCCAGCTCCTGAAAGAATTGCTCCATTTTCTTTCTGAGTTGCTCCTGCCATGGTGAAGGTCAGTGCCTTGTTGCCAGAGTAGCAGAGGACCCAGGTCACGGGGATGAGGACAAGGCTGTCCTGGTGAAAACCTTTCCTGGTTTTGGCAGCAGTGCCAGCAGCCCACAGCTGGAGTCTGCAGAGGGCTGGATTGCCTCAGTGTCCATGGGAGCAGCCAGGGCTGGGCTGGGCCTGGCTGGCTCTGCCCCTCATTCTGCTCTCTGCATTTGTAGGGACAGCTGGCAGTTCACAGCTTGCTCTGCTTCCAGGGCTTTGTCCACCTCGGGAAAACTCATGTGGCTCCAGTTTGGCTTAATGGGTGGGTGAAAAGTTACATCCTATGGCAGAGAAAGGAGCACAATTCCATGTGTCCTTTCCCTCAAATGCAGGAGCTGAGGGAGCAGAAAGGTTGCTCTCATCAGTTGTTTTAAATGATCTTGTGCATGGGGGAGGAAAAAGGCCTTTGGGAAGATGTTATGTGGCAGTATCTTCCTCCTAGAGTGAAACATCTTTTTCTCCTAAAGAGAAACAAGCTCAGGGGCTGGTACTGATCATTAACACACATTATCTCACCTGGACAAGCCTCTGCTTTGAAGGGACCTCACCTGGCTTCTGTCCCTGGGCTAACAATTTTGGCGTTTGCAGCTCTTTCATTATCTTAGCTTTTTTTAGTAATTATTTTAGCTCTTTCATTATTTTATCTATTTCAGTGATGAAGACAGGGCAGTGGCATCAGTCATTCAGCCAGTCTGTAGTTTTTAGGAAAAGCCTGAAGACAGCTTTTCTGTAGGTGTTTCACCATATGTGGATATAGATAAGCTCTACATAAATTTCACAGAGGTATCACAGCATAACCCTTACACTCTTATATATCCGTGATACAGGATGGTTGTCAGTCTGTCCCAAGCCCAAGGGAGCAGGTTTTTTTACAGAAGGAGAAATTCCAGCTGGCCCTGGAGATGTGTTGCTGCCCAAAAAACCCAAGGAATTGGGGTTTCCTCACCGGAAGGAAAATATTCCCTAACTTCCCTGTGCTCTCCTGTGTACAGACAGGCTCATTCCTTGCTGTTCATCCTTTTTCCTTTTGGCACATTGCAAACACCTGCATAATTCTGCAATAAAGCAGTCACCACTTTACCTCTGTGTTGGGAAGTATTGTTCTGCCCAGTACCCACAAGAAACGTGTGGTACCTCCCTCCCTCTTCAGCCCATTGCATCCCCCACAGTGGCCTCTGGACTCACAGAAGTTCTGCTTTGTCTAACAGAAGCAGCATCCTTAATTCTACATTCTAAGGTAAAGCAAATAACTTTTAAAATCCATTGTTTCTTCCCCCTGCTTTGGGTAATTATAAGTTTGGTGTATTTCTTCTGTGTAAGACAGCTGCACGGGGGAAGCAGTTTGTGCCCTGATTGTCACTGATGTCAGGTGCTTTATTACAGGGAGGAAATCGTAATGTGATTAATTTTGAAAATAAATAAAGCACAGAAGGCCAATAAAAAATAAATTTTCAGTTACAGTTTTTCTTTTGTGGACTGAAATGTCGCTATGCTGCTCATGGCCCTCAGAACCTGCTGCAGGCCTTGTGCTATGTTTTTGTTCAGCACAAAAACTGCCATTTTTCCACCAAGGCAGTGAAAAAATAAGTTCTGAGAAATGTGAGCTCATCTGAAATTAAGCTTAAAACATTTTTCTTTGCTGCCTTGCCCCCACCCTCCCTGACACCCTCAGACAAGAGAGGGAGGAGTGCTTTCTTTTTTCCTCTGAAGGAGCTGTCTGGGGTTGTCCTGGTGTGTGATTTGGCTTTGAGGTGTGGCTGTTGAAGTTTCCCTGTTGGTGGGAAAGCCCTTGCTTGGGGCTGCCTGTGGAGTTTCCACTATTCACACATGGCAATTTGTTTTTAATTCCAGACCTTCTCCACTTTCCCAAAATTCATTTAAACAAATGTGCTGAAGTACACTGTTTCCCTCTACTCTTTGTTCTGGATGAGGGAGGTGGCCTTTATTTAAATCCTGCCCGTGGCCAAGAACATCCCTGGACCTGAAGAAGGAGGAGTGTGCTGGGCTGGAGCCCGTCTGTGCCTCTGGAGGTGCTGTGGGCACAGGGGCCACTCCTGGGCTGCTCTGGGGACAGCAGGGAGGGGCTGGGCTGGAGCTCAGGGTGCAGCCCAGGAGGGGCTGTCCCAGCTCAGCTGCCAGACCTGCTCTCCTCGAGCTCTGAGCAAACCCATGGAGTGCTGGGGGCTCTGCGCCCCTGGGCCAGGCTGGCAGAGGCAGCAATGCCCTGCCAGGGAGGAAATCTGGGCAAGGAAAGGTGCTGAGCTCGGTGTTTTCTTGCTGGACCAGTGCAGGGTGTCCATCCTGCCACATGCCCTCTGTGCAGGGCAGGCAGAGCATTCTCGGTGTGGCTGAGTCTTTGGCACCATGTTCCCATCCAAGGCTTGGGGGTGTTTTCCTGCCAGAGGAGGGACAGGCTCCACCAGGAGCCTGTGGGGTTGTTGACCACATCTCCACATGCAAAACTTTATTGAATGATGCCTTGTGAAGGCTGACCTAGAACAGAGACTAGATGGAGCTAAAGAATAAAGCAGGGGTTTATTAAGAGGCCTCAATGGATCCACCGTGGGCAACACAACCCAGAATGGTCACAAAATGCACAACAACCAGTCACGGGGTCTCACACTTTTATAAGTTCTGCTCCATTTCCATATTGGAGTTCATTGTCCCATTCCAGCTTTAGCCCAGGCAGTCCCATCCTGCTTGTTTTTCTTTCTCCAGCCCACATTATTTGTGCTCTTGGGCCTGAGATTTGGATCATTTGTCCTTGGTGCCCAGCTGGAGCAGGATTTGTTTTGTCTCCCTGCTCTGTGCAGAGAGCTCACCATCCCATAATACAAAGCCCAGACCTACACACTAAAGCAGCATAGAATCTGAAAAATATAAAAGCTAAAACCTGAGGCATCAAGAGGAGGGAACTGAACCTCCTGCAGTTAACAAGAAGACAATGCAGGAGGGATTACAACCACTGTGACAGACACAGCAAGTGGCTCTCACAAATTCCCCAAAGGACAATCCTGTTACAGCTGCACTAACTGAAATGTTCCCCAAGTCTGCACAGCCTGGAACTCTGATGCTCATTAAAGTCAATGGGAGTTAATAAAGTCAGTGGGGGGTGTTATTGCATCTCCTGACTCTGAATGAGTGATTGCAGGCATTTTGGCCCCAGTGATTGTTTTTCCATGTCCAGAAGCAATGGAAGGAGCATTTGGGACTGGAGGAACCCTGCTCTGCTGCTCTAATGCCTGTCCAGGCCAGCGTGGGAAACCAGAGCACCAAGGCTTCCTGCACATCTGCTCATGCCGTGCCATGCCTTGCCATTGAACCCAAATTGTGTCAGCAGCCTCAGACATTCCTGCTTCCTTTGCCAAGGTGCGGGCAAGGCAGTAGGGACTGAGACTTTTGAGGGTGTTTCTAAGCAAGACCATGCTGCTTTTGCCACTGATGGGATGAGAGCAAACAGCAGCACAAGTGAGAAGACATATGAGGTCCAGGACAATAGGGAATGGGACCTTCCCTCTGTGGCTAGTGGGGAAAGTCTTTCATAAAAGCTTTATTTATTTTTTTTTAAAGCTCACACCATGGCAACTGTGTATGTTCAGTTGAGCTGCTCAGTTTTTGTCAGTTGCTTTTCTTCAGAATATGCAGATCTGGAATTAATTGTTGCCTGTGGGGTTGTTCTGGAGAGAATGGACTGGCCCAACCCTTGTCTTCCCACATCCCAGCAGGGACAATTTACAGGGAGAGACTCTGTGGGGACACTGGACCATGGAAAAGGAGGTTGAGTGCAAATAGGGTGGGAATCTTTACATTCATTCAAGAGCTAATGGGATCGGACACATCTTTTTATGTCACGGATGTTTAAAGGGCCCTGGAGAGTACCACACCTCTGTTAGGCAGGACAAGCCTAAAGGGCCAGGAGCTGGCTGTGCCTGCGAGCCAGAAGATGAGATGGGGCAACTAATTGGCTTGGCTGAACTTCTGATTTGAACTAATGAGAAAAGAAGAATTTTTGAATTTTAGAAGAACAGGGAGGCAATTTAGCACAACTACAAGGGTGTCGTGGGGTTATGCAGGGAGAAAATAAGAAGGGTCAAAGCTCAACTTGAACTTACCTGGCTATTACCATAGAAGACAATAAAAAATGTGGTTGTAAACACATCCAAAAGAGCATGTAAATACAAGATATAAATACATCCATACAAGCAACAAGAGTAGGGCTAAGGAGAATCTCCCTCCTTTATGGGATGTGGTTGGAGGCTGGTCTCTTTCCCCAGCTATCAAGGGATAGAACAAGAGGAAATGGCCTCAGATTGTGCCATAGGTTTAGGTTGGGTATTATGGAAAATGTTGTCATTTTGTGGTGGTCAGGTAGTGGAACAGCTCCCCAGGGCAGTGGTGCAGTCCCCATCCCTGGAGGGGTTTAAAAGAGGTGATGTGCCCTTGGGGACACGGGTCGGTGATGGCCTTGGCAGAGCTGGGGGAAGTTGGACTGGTTGGCCTTAGAGGGCTTTTCCATCCTAAATGGGTCTGTGGGAAAACCACGCTCAGAGCAGGGGTGACCCCTCCTGGGCCCCCATTCCTCTCCTGACAGACCAGTGGAGCCAGCAGGGAGCTCTTTAGGTGCCTTCTGGCCCAAAGGGTGAATGGAGGGGTCAGGAGTGTCCCTTCCCCACCCCCTGCTGCCCCCTCACCTGGGCTCTCTGCACACTCACAGATGGACCTTGCTGAGCACCAAAGCCCCAGAGCTCCTGTCCTTGGGGCCCCACCCACAGAAGAGCAGAGTGAACTACCCTGCAGGGGCTGCTGAGAGCTCCCCAAGTCCCCCTCTCTCCTCCCAAAGTCATGAACAAAACCAAAGCTGCTCTTTGCTGGGAGGTCATGTCCATGCTCCAAAGCGGAGCTGGAACCGGCCTCAGCCCCTGAGGCCCTGCAGCTCTCAGAGCCAGGTATATGGATCAGCAGACTGAAGGTTGGGCTGATTCTCATCTTCTTGACAGCCAGTTTGACTGGGTTTGGTTTTGGGTTTTTTTTCCCCCCTCCTGTTGTTCCTCCTTCCAGCCACAAAGACCCAACCATCAGCCTGATGCTGCTGCTGTCTCACCTTGGAGTGGACTGATGGCAGCACAGATGGACAGGAGGATGTTCAAACATCTCAGACTCACCATAAACTCAGGCAGTTTTGCTCTCCAGGGTTGGATGGTGGCTCAGCCACAAAGAACCCAACCTGGTCCAGTGGAAGGTGTCCCCAGGAGATAATCTTTAAAGGCCCTTTCCAACTCCAACAACTCAGGGTCACTGGTCCCTCCTGACACCGCTCTGGTGTCACCTAGAGCAACACTTGCTTAAGGAGCAGTTTTTAGCACTGCTGGCTTGTGCAACCTGGCAAAGCAGCCAGATTTTTCCATCTGTTATGAGCTGGACCAGTGCAAAGTCCAGAAATTAAAAGCCTGGATTTGGCCCCTGCTCTCCTGCATCAAAGAAGTTTCCAAGCCTTCAAGGAAAAACCCCAGAACTCCTGTGAACACAGATGTTTTGCTCAGCCCTGTGCGCTATACCTTGGGCAAGGAAAAGTAAATCCTGTGAGCAGAGCTGAGGGAAAGGGAAAAAAAGACTTGTCTGGAATAGAAGAAACAAGTGTGTGTGTATGAGAGAAGAGAGGGGAAGCAAATTAGATTTCTTTCTTTTATTATACAGGATCATATGTACAAGGTCACTTCTCTCCCAAACAGCAGCAGCACGGTCAGTTCACAGCCAAACCTGCAGCTCATCTCTCCAGGCCTGGAGAACAGCTCAGGGACAACTCGGTGCAGACCTTGCACAGGAACCAGGCAAGGGCGGGGCAAGCACGGCTCTCCCTCCAACCCCTCCTCAAGCAGCCCAAACCAAGAAATGCAAAGAAAACTTTGTGCTTCAAGAGCCATGCGTGCTCCAGGATGGCGCCAGGGGCAGGGAAGTGACACCCCTGGAGCTGTTTACCCTTCACCCTTCCAAGAGATGTTGTGGATGAGGTTGGAGCAGTCAGGACCAGGCAGGTGTTGCGTGGGAGGGACTGGCCAGGGGGAAGGTTGGACTCTGCTCTGGGTTCCAAGCACTGCTGTGTGTGTGTGTGTTCTGGAGGGGAAGGGGCGGGCAGGACACACCAGGTGTGAGTAAAGTGCTGCGTGAGTTCTAGTCCCTGGGAAACGGGAGGAGCCCAGGAAGGAGGAACGAGGAGAGAACGGCTGAGGCCTCTCGGCTGCGGGGTCCCACGACGAGCCTCCGCTGGCAGCACGGGGCAGGGGCACAGCAGCTGGGAGCTGGGGAGCAGGGAGGTGCTGCCCACCCACATGCACCATGCCCGGGGCATTCCCTGTGCCAGCCTCAGGCACGCTGTCACCCTGGCCATGGAGCTCGGGCAGGAGCAGAGCAGCACCACGCTCCTGATGTGCCCTGACTGGGGCAGGGGGAGGTGTGGGCAGCCAGGGAAGGGGCTGATGTCTCTGGCTCCAGGCTGTAGGAGTTGGGTGCTCCACCTCCCTTCCAGGAGGAGCTGGTCCAAGGAAAGGGTCTCATCCATGCCCCTCACTCTGCACAGGCTTGCTCAGCCCTGACAGGGTGGACAATGAGGACACCAAACCACTGAAGGTGGTGTTTGCTTGCTTTCTCCTGCTTGGGATCACTTGCTTTCCTGCAGCTTCCTCTCCCCTTCCCTCCTCAAGCAGCTTTCCAGAGCACAGCAGCTGCTCCAGCACCGACTCCTTTCCACCTGGAAGTGACCGTGGACACACAGCAGCTCATGGGGCACAAGAACACAAACTGTCCAGACTGAGACACTGCTTTTCCCTCAGTTAGGAAATGCTCTGGCTGTCACCTCACACAGGAAAAATGTCTTTATTGGGCTGGGCTGAGCTCTCTGCTCTCCTGCAAGCAGCTCTAGAACACCTCTGGCTGCCCTGGGGACACACCTGCTCTCCTGGTCTCTGTGGTGGCTCTGGGTTGTGCAGGTCTGGCTCCTGCCTCCTCTGCTGGCTGCAGAGCTCTGAATGCATTGCAGGGGTGGTGGGGATCTGCTGGGAGGATGAGTTTTCTTTGCCTTTGCTTTACAGATGGATGGAAGATGTTGGGCCATGTTTCTCCTTTGAATGCCAGGTAGAGATGACAGCAGCACTTCCATTCAGCTTGCCTTGCTCAACGTGCCAGGACAGGGTTTAGCCTCGTGCTTTCCTCACACTGTTGCTCACAGCTGCAAGGAGAGAAGGGGGAGCTACAGCACTGTCCTCGAACCCCAGAGATTTGTCACTCAGGAAAGGGGGCGAAGGGCTGGCCAGTGACCCAGCTGAGCAGCCAAGCTCCATGCTAGGAAAACACAGAGGATGAGTGGAAAAGAGCCTCTCCTGAAGCAGCAACCCCCCAGGCCCAAGAGGCACAGAATGAGAGCTCTGGCTCCATCAGCAGCACGGGAGCTGTACCTGGTTACTGTAGCCTGGCATCCTCCACGTCTGTGTAATGGCTGTTATCCTGCAGGGAAAAGGGAACCACAAACAGTGAATCACCCTGTGTCCCTCCTGCCCTGCCTGGGACACTGGGACACCTCACATGTGGTCACCAGCTGGTCCCCTGCTGTGGGAGAGCAGTGCCAAGGTGCTCAGTGTGATGGACCAGCTACAAAGCACACCTGGTATGGACACCAGGCAAAACCACCAATTTCCTCTGGCTCCTGATGCTGAAATGGCTCTGCCAAACAGACCTGGGGTATGCAATTCCCTCCAGGCCTTGGAAGTAATAGAATCACAGAATCATTCAGATTGGAAAAGACTTCCAAGATCAAGTCCAACCATTAACCCAGCACCTCCACATTCACTTCCCAGCTGTTCCAATGCCTGACCAAACTTTCAGTGAAGAAATTTCCCTGATCTCCAATCTAAACCTCCCCTGGCACACTTTGAGGCCATTTCCTCTCATCCTGTTTCTTGTTCCCTGGAACTACCCAATGCTGCCAAGGTGCCTCAGTCCACAAAGGCAAATCAGTGTCCTGATTCTGCTGCTGAACACAGGAACTGGTCCCAGTTTGCAGCAGAACTCGTTATCCAGAATAGTAACACTCATCCAGTACTCCAAAGGCCACAATAACAGTGCTGAACTGCTCCCCAGGCAGGGCTTTGGAAAGTGCAGCATGTGTTTGGACTGCCTTGATGGTCTTGGAAGTCTTTTCCAGCCTTTATGGTTCTCAGTGGAATTTGCTCCTGGAGCTGCTGTGCAGAGCAGCATCACTGGGACAAGGGGATGCTCAGCAGTGGGGCTTAACCTCCTGCACAGGGTGAGTACTTCAGGGATGGAAATGGATCCAGGGGCTCTCTGCAGGGGACACGAGGGGCTCCAAAAGGAAAGGAGAGGGAACAGGCTCTGCCCGAAAGCCAGGGGAGGGGGCCTTGCTCAGGGCAAGGCAGAGCCCAGCTGCACTGGGATGAGCCTTGGAACGGACCCTGAGGCAGCGGGAGCCGGCGGGGGAGGATCAGGGCCAGCCCAGCTGGTGACACCGTGGCATCCCCTGCACCCCACTGGTGCAGAGACCCCAGGGGAAACCCCCTGGCATCTGGAGTGGGGCTGGAACAGGAAACAGATGACTTTGGGACAGCAACAAGAGTAAGTTCTGGCCCAGCTGAGCAGGGGAGACTGATGGCCAAGAACACCTGGTCAGGGATGTGAAGGTGGAGAGAAGCCTTGGCTGCAGAGCCCATGGGACTGTGAACCTGAGTACCCCAGAGAAGTGACCAACACCAAGAACAGGATCAAATCCCTGAACTTAAGAGAGTAGAACTGGGGTTGTTCAGGGATCTGCTTGGTAAAATCCTATGTGAGACATCTGTGGAGGCCAAGGAGGCTGGGACATGCAAACTCCTATGGTGTGAGACTCCCAGTGGGCACCCAGCACCAACCCCAAAAACCGTTTGGATGCAGACTGGACAGAAAAATAACCAAAACTGCACAAAAACAGAAGAAAATCTGACTGCAAATCAACCACAGTGTGCTGTAAATACCTGAACACATGAGATGAGAAGTCCTTTAGTTTTCCCTCCAGAGCAGCTGTCTGTGTGCAGGGATCTCCCCTTGAGCAGGGCCATCCCTCAAGACACCCCTCAGCTGACACCAGGCATTGATGGGCTGGCAGGTGACTTTTTTTGCACACACGTGACATTTATTAAGGCATGTCCACAATAATCTTTGTATCCCCTAAGTGTAGTAAATAGAACTGACCACCAGTTCAGCTGCACTTACTCAGTGTTTTCCATATCCAAATTTATGGCTCAGAACTCAATAAACTCCCTCAGCTCTGTTTGAGTGACCTCTGGCTTTTCTCCTGCCACCCCTGTGCCCCTCAGAGCCAAAAGGATTTTAGGGACCCCATGTGGGTGCCATGTCCATGGACAGCAGGTGGTGACAGCCACACTGGGGTGTGGGACAAAGGAGTCACTCCCAGGAACTGGGGGGACCTCAGGACTGCTCAGGGCTGTGAGCTCTGGGGAGCTGCCTGCACACACCCTGCACACACTGCCCTGACCATCCAGAGCACTTGGGAGCCTGTCTGAGGCTGGCAGTGGAATATTTCTGGTCTTGATGCCACATCAGGACCAGGGAGTTACAGAAAACAGAGATGTGAGCTGAAACATCTTTTTCTTCTCCTCTTAATGAGGACCAGCTCTTCCCAAGCCACTGCCAGCAGATGTCCCTCCAGTGTTTTCTCACCCCAGCAAAGGCAGAGAAGTGCACATTTTTTGTTGACAGGCTCTGTGCTGCTTTATCATCATTAACATCAGCAAGTTTCCCCCTAATGTCTGCCACCTGTTTGCCCTGATGTAATTCAAACCTGGCCTTCTTTTTCCTGACACAGCATGTGCCTTTCTTCTTCCCAGTGCCTGGTGTGACCTCTCCCCTCCAGCAGGGCTGAGGGACTCCAGCCATGAGGCCCCAAACCTGAACAGCTCAAGGCCCCTGTTCAAGCCCTCACCCAGCATGGCTCCAGCAGGGCAGAGCAGGAGAGCACAAAGCAGCTGGGAGTGTTTGGAGCTGGAGCAGTTTAAAGCCTTGGAAAGGGCTGTGGGTGTGCAGCGTGGGCACCCCAGAGATGGAGGGTGAGGAAGAGGAGAGTGATGCTGAGCTTCATCCTCACTCCTGCTGCCACCAGTGCTGGGGTGGGGAGGGACTGGAGCTGTTGCTGGGGCCACTCAGGGCAGGTCATGTCCTTCTACCCTGAAGCCCTGCTGTCCTCAGCCGGTGGAGCTGATCCTGTTCTCAGCAGAGTTTGGTTTGATAAATCACAGTGCTGCCAGTGTTACCACAGTGCCTGTTCTGTACCCAAACACTGGGTTCCCATCCAAATGCACAGATTTATCTCTGGGCTCACCAGGAACATCCCTGTTTGGGGCAGGACTAGGAGCAGTGGGGCTGCTGTGTGCCCCACACATCGCTGGGGTCAGACCTTGGCTTGTGCCACGGGACAAGTGCCTCTGGAGAGGGACTTTGGACAAAGGCCTGGAGGGACAGGACAAGGGGAATGGCTTCACATTGCCAGGGCAGGGATAGATGGGATATAGGGAAGAAATTCCTCCCTGTGAGGGTGGGCAGGCCCTGGCACAGGGTGCCCAGAGCAGCTGTGGCTGCCCCTGGATCCCTGACAGTGCCCAAGGCCAGGCTGGACAGGGCTGGGAGCAACCTGGGATGGTGAGAGGTGTCCCTGCCCACAGCAGAGGGGTGGAATGAGAAGTTCTCTAAGGTTCCTTCCAACCCAAACCCTCCTGTGACTCTGTGAATCAGCTGCAAGGGTACTGCAAATGCAGCTCATCTAACACAGCCTGTCCTTGCCGTGTATTTAAATCCATCTAGGAATCACCTGGGAGCAGAGTGGATTGGTTTAAACTACTCCAAGCTGTGAAATCAAGGATAAATGTCTGAATTTCCAGAGCCAACCATGTTTCTTCAGCACCTCCACATGTGTTTGCAAGGTCAGTGCTTCTGCAGGCTTGGAAGAACAAGTTGTGAGCAACAAGCAGATTTAAATACTGCCATCTCTTTGCAGGAAGGAAAAACTACTTTTCCTGGGGATTTGGCAAGTTCCAGTAAAACTGTGGCCCGCTCCTTTGCTGCAGGGATGCGTTACCCAAAGCTCTCTTACCAGTTCATCTTCACACTCCCGTGCCAGCCCCTCCTCCTCGCCCTCGTCCCCGTTGAGCGGCTCCTCCACGGTGGCCTCGGCCTCGGAGGCCGTGTCCTCCTGGGACACCTCGTTCTTGCTGCTCTCTGCCTTCTTCCGGGCCTCTGCGGGGACAGCAGCCACGTCAGGGCTGGGGACAGGGCCACGGCCTG